ATAATAAACTTCATCTAGACTCGGAAAAAGTTAACATGTTGACTGTTTAAGTCTTGCACCATATAATTAACATAAGTATTAGAATTCTAATTTCAGAATTGCTATTTTATTTGACCAGAATTATCAGTAAACAAGAAAAAACAATGATAATTTGCATTTTCTTTTCAGGCCAGATCAAATTTCTGTGTATGATAAATCAAACATTAGAAGATCTTCATTCCCATATCAAATGCCTGTGCGTCGGTGGTAAAATTGGAGAGAAATATTAGGATAACAGCCACCGCAGACATTAATTTCATATACCAGGATGCAGAAGCCAATTGTCAAAAGGCTATAGCAAGATAGCGGGATGGCTGCCATTTTGAATATTACTAATTGTTATTACAAACTAGAAACTTTATACTACACATTAAAATTCAAAAGCAAACAAAAAAATTAAAGAAATTCATGATAAATAGTAAGACAGATTATACACACAATCACCATCAATATAGGAGCTAATAACAAGAATAAAGTAAACAAAAAGGATATAACAGAAAAATAACAAATTAAATAAAATTAGCAGAAAGTGATGTTGAAAGGAAGAAAAATATTGAAACACGAGAAAAAACAGTACGACGTGAAGTGACGAAGATAAAAAAAAAAAGGTAAATTTTGTGGAATGGTGAAGGAAGAAGGGTTCCAAATCCTGTCATGCTTTTGAAATTGTGTACGGGGTAAAAAATGGGTTTTTGGACTCCCTATATCATGGTAGTGCTACCATAACACAAAAAACTGCTATTTTGACAACTATTATTACAGCCACAATGATCGCTATTGAAAACTGGTTTGCTCTAATCTAGTACTCCATAATAGCACACCATTTGACTACTATGAGAGCTACCATCATATTAGAGAAGAGAACATTGAAAAACCATATAAATCAATGAGGGAAAATTCAGTTCTGTTCAAAGAATGTGGAACACACAGTTAACATACATTTGCATGAGTTAAATTCCTTTTCAGATTTTATTGCATGATAAATCAAGCTTATTTGCATAACCAGATAGCTAAATATCTATTACTCCCTAAAGCAGGTTGGAAGAAAAGAAAAAGAGATAAACAAAATCAGTGACCTCGGTATATTACGATACTGAATTAAACCCTATAAATATGAAGTATAACTTCCATAGCACACTCGCAAAAAACCAAGATCAAGAGGATCCTATACAACCCTCATCAAGATTTATCATCGTTTAAGTTCAGTATAAGTTGCTTGCCTGCTCTAAGCTCAACAGTCAGCAAGGGTCAACTTTAGCATTTGATCGACTGATCATCTGATTCCCAAGGAGAAGGAATCAAACAATGATTATTTTCCAGCCAACATCTAGTCAAATTAAGTGATCACATAGATAAAACCCTAAAAACCATCAAATCACAGGGACAGAAATAAATCCGAACCGCACCCTTAAAATTTTTCGTACAGCGCAATTTACTCTAAAGTACCTCATCTCACAATAATTATAGAGTATAGAAATCCAACATCCATGAGTGAAAAATCAACCACCCACCCCTTCGTTCATTATTTCCCAAACTTTCTCCATCCACCAGACTCCCTAGCATACAAAAATCGATACCCTAAATCTCGGGGAAATAATTATATATCTTACAACAGCTCAAGTAACTGCTTGAAGTAAAATCGTATCAACCTAAGTTCACCAATTCGCTTTCTACAACATCAACATCGCCACTCCCGATTCACAGTTCTAATTGCTTACTAGCAACCATGAGACTCTCGGTGAGGAAACTTCTGGATTAAAGCAAAATCATCGCAGATCTAAGCAGATTCAAGTGAGATCCAACAAATTCACGAAACAGAAGAGGAAATTGCAAACAACCACTCACCGGCGCCACTCGCGAAGAGCGTAGCCTTCCTCCGGCTCCATCTCAGTCGGCGGAGGAAGCACTGGACCGTCCGAAACGAAAACTCCGTCGCCGTCACCGTAGCCGTTTCCGTTTTCGTTTCCATTCTCTACGGAAGCAGATTCGAAGGGAGACTGAGAGTAAGCGGGAGCCGGATCAGTAAAGCCGTAGATCTCCGGCGAAGCGGCGGCGGAGTGATCAACGGGGACATCACCATCGGCGGAAAAACCGCCGGTGAAGGAGGAGTAGCCGCCGTAGCCGGAGAAGTTTTCCTCGTCGTCGTCGTGTTGGTGAGTTGAAGAAGAGTTGACGTTCAAGTCATCGGTGAAGGCATCGAAGGAAGACATGTCTGCGACTGAGAGTTTCTCTCTCTACAAATGGTTTCTCTCTCTTCTGTTAAACGCAAATGATGGGAACACTGTGGCTTTGCTTTGACGGAGGTTCAGCACTCTAAACTCTTCCACTTTTTAAATACTTAACGGTGAATAATAATACAAAACAAAATGTGAAAATTCACATGCAATCTATATATGAAAATAAATATTATGAAATACATATGACAAAAAATAAATAATTAAAGTCTGATTCATAGTTGCTATAATATTTTTATTACAATAATAGTTATATAGTATTTCACGTTAAAACAAAAATTCAATGATATACATTGAAAGAGTACAAAAAATTTATTAAAAAACTATACACTCAATCAATTAAAATCAATAGATTATTACGACAATTATTACAAAATACGATAGTTTATAATTTTTTCATTAGAGATCTGTATATAATGATAGACTATTTTCTATTTTCTTTAAATAATGAAAAAATAGAGTTTATGCGTAGTTTTGATCATCCAACTAAACCACAGTATTAAATAAGTAACTTAACATTTACATAATACTTCTGATGTCTGTTTGATAGCAACAAATTCATTTAAATGAATGATTCATCAGAAGAACAATAAGTTTTAAAATAGAAAATAAATATTGATATGGACAGGGCTGCAAAAATAATTTTTTTATCCAGACATTATTAATTATGCAAATGTTTGATAAGAAACTTATTATCGAAAAATTATTTTATGATCGAGCCATTTTATTTTTTTATTTGATATTTTATTTATAACAGTTAATAATGTAATTTTCTTAACAGTTTTTCTCTACAATGTTTCATTAATTTTATGAATTTCATATTAATTTTGTTAATTATACTTTAATTTTGATACCATAAAAAGATATTTCCCATGGTTAATAATAACAGTAATTGTTGTCATTGTTATTTTATCCAATATTGTTTTAGGAGTTTTGCATAATGTAAGAATTTTACGCTTGCCATAAGAGAAATTTTGTGCTTGCTCTTTTAAAATTTATATAGAATCTTGAATGACAGTGATTTTAGAAGATTCATTAATTTCTTTTATATAGACTAATACCCATTTGTAGTAAACATTTATCCAGCATTAATGAAATTGTACTTTTATTTCAAAATATAAAATAATTCGAAAAGAATCAAGTATTTTTTTCTTTAGGTGTTTAATATGTAGAAAAACCAAAAGGTAAACATTTCGTTGATAAAATGATTATTAATAAATGATGATGGACAGGTGTTTAATATGGTGCATCGAGCAGTCTATCGTTGAGAAATTTAACATTGACTGAGATGGAAAAATTCGAACAATCATTCAGACAACTATGAGTGATGACCTTCATATCAATTCCAACTCACAACATTTACATCCACAAATCGATATAGATATTACTTATGGTTCATTAATTTTATTATAACTGAATCGAGATTTAATTATTACTATTATTAAATATATTATTATAAACATATAAGTAGACCTTTTAATTAACATTTGAGGATCACATTACAATTTCTATGAAATGAAAAAAAATATATATAACAATAATCTCTCGTAGAAACCAGTAAGATATTAGTCAGAATAAATTCAATATTTTAAGCAAGATTTCAAACTTAAGCATTTCCTGCCAATTATCGAATGAAAAAAAAAATCCATAAGTAGAAAAATTAACTTTTTTTTTTCTTTCAATCTTCCTTTATTTTCATCAACTTTGATAAGCTTCTATAAAATTTTATTGTACTAACATTTTGACATATATGAAACCGTGTGAAGTGAACATTTTTATATACACAATTTAGGTATATACATTAAAATTATCACAGCATATGAATTAGATTGATATAACAGTAATACTTAATTGCATTTAAATTAGAAGATATTTATTTATACAACATTTGAACGCAAGTAAATTTATTATTAGAAATTTAAAATAAGTTTTATTTATCTAAATTTGAAAATAAAAAATACTCACAGTAACAATAAGCGGTTCAAATTATCTAATAACAGTAGTAGTTGTTATGATTTAACATAAAGTTATATTTGAATAATATAATTTAAATTTGAAAATTGTTAATAAAAAGTTAAATATACCCTTAAAAAACTTTGTTAAGACCAAAATGTTATAAGATTAGAAGAAATAATATATATCAATAGTAAGGTAACCGTGGTTTATTCATAATGGCAAGGTGACCTAGACTTGTTATAGAAGTATGTAATTTATTTTGGTTTTGCACAACAAATTCGTATCACTAGTATTTAATAAAAATTATGCAAATAGAAAAGAAATTTGAGCTAAAATAATTTAAAAATAGCTTTAAAAAAGTGTCAATATAACTCTTACTTTTTTTTTCCTATTCTAAATAGTTTGTACAGAAACTACCAAAAATACTTTATTTTCCATTTTATGTACAAATCGAAAAACATTAAAAATAAGAATATACTTTTGTAATTAAAAATAAAAATAAAACAAGGAAATAAAAAGGCAAATAAATTTCCACTTTGTAAATACTAACAGAAAATGAACAATGGTAATTTTGAGTAAAGAAAATCAAAAAGTAAAGCAGGGCCAAAAGCTACATTGATCCCTACCCGTGTTAAAATTCCCTACCAAAAGTGATTTTACTATTTCATCAGAATTGATACCGAATCCTCAATGTTTTTGATTCTGTAAACTGCATTACTGCGTCAGTACTTCCATCCTCTAAGGATGAATTACGCCTACAAGTTGCTAATCTGTTGAATAGTTCAATTATTTCCATATTTGTTCAAGATTTCAATAAGATAAACATCAACAATATTGTATACTTAACAGTAATGCAAAAACATTGACAAAAAAACTGACTTAACAATCGTGAATGCATACACTTCTTTAAAACCATTCAGTGGTCATTTTATTCATCATTGCCACCGAAAAAGTAACAGGCAATGATCACATGGTAAAATTCAGCGGTAAAGGCTTTCAGATCTCAGGTTCTCTGCAATTTCAGTCTCCCATCGATCACCGTTTTCAAGCAGCTTCTCTTTGTCATATAAAAGTTCCTAGCACAGGTAAACACGAATATAAGTAAATAAATACGCGAGTAAACAATTACTGACATGTACTAATAAATAGTAGTCAAACATATAATTAATTAATAATATAGAACAATAGAGAGAATTGTTAGCAAGAAACAACAAAACGTATTTACATAATTCAACATAAAAGAAATAAAGATGAACCTCATGAGTCTCTGTAGCAAATTCAAAGTTTGGCCCTTCAACAATGGCATCAACAGGGCAGGCCTCTTGACAAAAACCACAATAGATGCACTTGGTCATGTCAATATCGTACCTGAAAGATTTAACAGGTAAGAGAGCAAGAATGGAGTGGGCGAAGAGAAGAGGGGGCAGATAAGGCAGGTAATTTACCGAGTTGTCCTGCGGCTGCCATCTTCTCGCTCCTCAGCCTCAATTGTGATTGCTTGTGCAGGGCATATCTAATTAAAAAAATACGATTAAGAGAAAACAATAACATACAGCTGCTCCCTCTACGGACCGGAAGGAGAGAAATGGGGAAAGTATCAAAATGGAGAAAGAATACCTATAAAAGAGATATTAGGAGAATGCAAATATGTAATGGATTGATCATTAGTTGTAATTATTAACTAGGCTATTCATGTATAGATTATAGCTCATTTCTTAGGGGTTAGCTGGTCCCTAGTAGTCCTTTCTAGTAATGGATCGATCCTTTACTGGATTTCACTATTTAGAGACTGCCGCATGGTTTGAGCTCAAAACCTATGCTGTGAACTGCTATCCAGACATTCTCCTCAACCCCCTATTTGTACTAATGTCCTTTACCCGAATACTCTAGTAGCTTAATTTGTTTATACTCCGAAGAGGGATAATGCTGCAGCAGTAGTACTGTCTCAGTCAAAAAGAAAATAATTCAAAGCAAATAAAACTGCTATTATTGATGCATAGGAAAATATATCCATTACAGCCTCCTCCGAGGATTGAGAGGGATTTGACTATTACAGCTATGTTAGGGATAGCTTGATTAGATAGATTTTTATCCCTTAGTAATTGCAATTCGCAAGCATACTTTCCTAAGCCCGATTTAACAAAATGACAAGGCACAAATTCACAATGGTCTAAGCCTTACAATTTGTGGAGTGTTTTTTCAAATACAAAAAACAGCTGCACATTTTTTTCTACATTAACCAATATAGAAACAACACTTGGTAACATACACACATAACAGGAATATATAAAATAGTCTGTAAAATTGCAAGATTATTAGTAGTCCAGTTTATGGAAGAAGCAGGAAAATGCTGTCCTGAGGTTATATGCAATTTGGTGTATGCATGCTCTCGAGGATCATAGTCGAACCAAAATTATAAATAATCACAGCCTTACAGCTTCACAAAGTTTGCAAGCAATACAACGTTCCTCCCCTGTTGGATATCTTCGGAGAGCATGTTCACCACGAAAACGAGGGCTCAAAGGTCCTTTCTCAAATGGATAATTGATCTGCATTAAAGATGTTGGGCATTCAGCATTTAATTAGAAGATGCAACACTATTGGATGGCAAACAGTTTCAGAAGACACTTACTGTAACTTTTGTTTCAAAGAAGTATTTCAGAGTAAGCATTAGACCTCGAACCATTTCAGTGAGAAAAAGAGTGTTGATGCTTCGTTCAAAAACTATCATCCAGAACACCAACAATGAATTAGTTACATTATGGAGAAAGTCAAAAAGAACAACGATCAAGCTGAAAACAGAGGATTCTAAATAAATACCAGAACTCCAATCCTTTGAAATTTCCTTTGCAAGTTGCTCCCTTTGTTCATCCTCTGCAGTTTGTGCATCTCGGAATTATAATATATAGAAGGAAGGCATGAATACATAACACATGCAAGTGAAAAGAAAATGGACATCCAAGAGATATCTCAATTGACAGACAAATGGTCATGCTAGTGAAGGTATTTGCAAAGTTAAAGAAATGCCGTGTTTGTTCACTATACACAATTCTGAAAAGTCATTCCTTTGACCCACGTAATTATCTGCCTTTATAGGAGGGGAGGGGATGTTAAAGAGAGGGAACTAGGTAAAAACTCACAGGATCAGTATCGTCTGAGGATGAGGCAGTGGAATGCATTGTAGTGTTTCAAGGAATACATAATTAAATATATTCTTTACTTGTACGTGTGGACCCAGCACACTATCCCATTTCAAAAAGTCCATTTCTTGAAACTGGATCATGATTTTTATGTAGTAGACAATTTGATGCAGGAAACAATAAAAACTCAGACTCAGCAAATCATCAATAGTTTTGCTTTCTAATTCTAACTATTCTGTAACAGCAGGAAATATGCCCACAAGAATGTTAAGATAAATAACAGACCTAGTTTGGTAGAGAAGGAGTGTGCACTTAATCGAAGCCCATAGGATTGGGAGCTGTGCAGGCCTTGACCGCTTACAGCCTAAACACGCAGAACAACAAGGGATAGTATCAAGTACTAACCAAAACATTTGGCATCCTACAATTAAAATGATACATATATAATTCACAGCAACCTCTTATATATTATCCAGTAAATTGTAATTTAATAGTAACAGTGCATCACAAAGCCAGATAGGAATCAGAGTGACAACAAAAGGGAGAAAAAAATAATCCATTTCACAGCTCGAAGGAAGTGATGGAAGAAGTACAAGGTATTCAGATAAAATTTAGCTTCTCAAGTGAATCAACATCCGATCAAGTGGGTTTTATTTCATTGTTTCTTTCATTTCCACAAATAAATAAGAATCGAAACCATATTAATGTTACCAATTGGCGGGCACGAAGAGCAAGGAGTGATTTCCGAGCTAAAATCGCAGCCATTCCCTAAACCTGGAAATGAAAAGTTAAAGAATCAAATGCAGTATGGTAATGAATTCAAACATAACAATTAAGTTCGAGCGAAACAATTATTTACAAAGATTCAACGACGTAACCAAGAACCGAAAAAATGGGAAGAGAATATTGAATCAAAAGGGGTAAACAAGTGGTGGTTGAACCAAACACAAATTAATATTGCGAAATAGCGCAAAAATTGAAGCAATAAAAGAAAACGAAAAATTGTATGGGTTCCGTGTTTAACATTGATGGTTGAAGTGTTTAAGAAAGGGAAAAAAAAGCGAAGAGAAAAATACCTGATGCAAGGTTGATCTCAGAACAAATGACTGAGGAGGAGAAGCATACAAAGAAGAAACAGGGATGTAATTGGAAATACCTCAGTTTTGAGATTCGCACTACACAACGGGCCAGCAAGAAATGCACGGCCCAACCAAACCCGGTCCAACCCGTTTATTGTCGTGGGTATTTGAGGGGTTTCTTCCTGCACCCCATTTTTATAAAATGTCTAAATTAGTCTTTAATCTTGACTAAGATAAAAACTCTATTTTACACCCCTTTTCAAAATCAATTTAGTCTAAAAAATGTTAGAGTTCGTATAGAACTTTAAAATCAGATTACGTTGTGATTTCACCATAATACAAAATATGGTTAAATCTAGGTTGTACACCGGATTAAATAATTCCGTTTATTCATTTATTTAATATATAATAAACAAGGGATAAAATGAAAATCAATGAAAATTTTAGAGATGCAAAAAGAAAACGATGAGGTGTAGGAAGAAACCTCGTATTTGATTGTGATTACTTTCATTAATTCTTGAGAGGTTAACTCTCTGATTTATTTATTTTCGGCAAAGGATTATAATATTTTGACTCCAAATACCATACATTTTTATTCTACACTTATCTAACATCAATAAAAAAGATATTTTAAAATATAAAATAATAAAAATATTAGTTGTTTTATGAAGTGTTTGGAAAGGTACAGAAAATGACTTTTTGAATATATTTATGACACCGAAAATTGTACCTGACATTTAAACTTTGTTTGTTTTGGATGTGTAATGTATACGCACAGGGAAAGGCGAAAATGAATTATGTTTGCATATGCTGATATGAAAAAGAAAACGACGACGTAAATAATATTTTCGTATCCTCGCTCCTATACGGAGAAAATATGAAAAAGTTAAGGATGTTTTTCTTTCAAGATACATTTGAGGGGACAAAAAGAAAACAAAAAGTAAGATTATTTATTAAGGGATGAGAGTAAAGAGATTTGATTTTTTTAAAAATTCAATAAATATTTTAAAAAAACTACCTAAGTAAATAAAACTATAGAAATTATTCATTTTATACTTACGTCTATTTTTATTTTTTGCTAATATAATAAGATAAATATATTTATATACTTATATATTAATAACATGTACAATGTTAATATAATAATAATAATTTTTACTATAAAAATAATTTTATTATTTTACAATTTTATCTTTTAAAGTAGTTCTTTTATTATCTTCAAATTCATCTTTTAATCTAAACTAAATATTTGTAACAATTAATTAAATATCTATTTCCATATTATTCAAATAATTATATGCATTCTTACTATATACTAATTTAATTACTATTATATATCTTACTAATCATAAATATATTTTAAATTATATATTTAATAAAAATAAATAAATTTTAGAACAAATCGTGCGTTTGTACACGTATCAGACTGTTAAAAGAAAAAAGCAGTTTGGTTCCACTTCCTCTGCCATTTTCAATGCAAAATGTTCTCTGACTTTTTCTCTTTCTTCGTGAAAACATTCTTAAACATTTTGAACCTCTCCCTGTCTCTTCATGATTCACGCAATGGAGCAAAGCGCCAAACTCTCCCTGTTCCCCGTTCTTCACCTCAAAAGATCCATGCTTTCTGTACTCTTCTCCCTACCCACTTCATTCTTCGCCTTCCTCCTTCTCCTCCTCCTTTCCTACAACGCTTTCACCATGTTCTCTCTCCATCTGAACTCTCCTCCCCTTCGCTCTCCTCCAAAGCTCCTCAATCTCTCTTCTTCCGCCAATTCACCTCTCTTCAACAACCCCCATTCGCCTCTTCTTCCAAACTCTACCCAAAGCCTTTCCCTTTCCATTCAAAGGCCCAAAAGAGTGAAGAAGCACAAGCGTGGCCTTAGAAGTTTGCGCTCAGAACCTCGCTCCCCCGTTTCACTTTTTCATTCTAGACTCAAAGCATTCTTCAACACTTCTTGCCGGATGAGGTTCTTCATGACTTGGATTTCTCCCTTGAAATCTTTTGGTGAGAGGGAGTTGTTCTCTATAGAGAGCTTGTTCAAGTCTCACCCTGATGCTTGTTTGGTCATAGTGTCAAAGTCCCTTGATTCTCACACTGGATCGTCAATTCTGAAACCGTTTGTGAGTAATGGCTTCAGGGTCATGGCCATTGCTCCAGATTTTGGCTACATATTCAAGGACACACATGCTGAATTATGGTTTAACCGTTTGAAGGAAGGGAATGTGAATCCTGGTGAGGTCTCTTTGGGACAAAACCTCTCCAATTTGCTTAGACTTGTTCTGTTGTACAAGTTTGGAGGCACTTACATTGACTTGGATGTCATAGTCTTGAAGAGTTTCTCCAAGCTGAGAAACACCATTGGAGCACAGAACTTCGATGTCAGAACCCGCAAGTGGAGCCGCTTGAACAATGCAGTCTTGATATTCGACAAGAAGCACCCTTTGCTTTTCAAGTTCATCCAGGAGTTTGCACTCACCTTTGATGGGAACAAGTGGGGTCATAATGGTCCTTACCTGATCTCAAGGGTAGTGTCTAGGCTGAATGGGAGACCGGGTTTCAATTTCACTGTGCTCCCTCCTTCTGCGTTTTATCCTGTGGATTGGAGAGGGATTAGAGGTTTGTTTAGAGATGGGATTCGTTCCAAATGGTTGGTCAATAAAATGGAACAAATCCGCAAAGAAAGCTTTGCAGTGCACTTGTGGAACAAGCATAGTAGGGAACTTAAAGTAGTTAAGGGAAGCTTTGTGGATAGTATAATTTCTAGTTGTTGTATCTTCTGCAACACTTAGCTTTGAAGTTTGTAGTTTTTAATTTTGTTATTAAAGATTGTAATTAGTGAATTAGAATAATAGGTCTTAAATTAAAGAAGTTATAAGCAACGTTTGTGTTGCAAGTGGCTACGGGAGCAGTTGTGTATCTGCTATATATATAAAAAAGAAGAAGAATATATTTGATGGCTAGATTGAAAGAGTATAATAGACTATAAGGGGTTTGGAATTTCGAGCCTTGTATGAACCTTTTTGTTGTATCTGTTTGAAAGATCAGAGAGGAATATGATGCGAAAAAATTCTGACATGTTCCTTAAGAGTAAAATGGTGAAGAGAGTGGCGTGTTTTCCTGTGGTTTGAGATTTCAGTTGACAAGTGAAAAGTAAAAGTTGATTGATATGGAAGGAATTTGTCTTGTTTAAGACAATTAAATTCTGAAAGTGATTTCTCAGCTTCCAATCATAATAGGGCACCTACTTCTCTTGTATCTTCTGTCCCCAGTTTACTCCTTTCATTTTTCTTGTCTTACCTCTTGTGAATAAGTTTGGGAAGATCTTTAACAGCTCATTTTTCTTAATCTCTTTTACAAACGAAATGTTTGACTCACTGATGTTTAGATAAAAGCTGAAAACGTGTTTTTAAGAATTCCAATGCATAAACCATGAAACCAGATATGGAGGCTGTTTTAAGATACTGATCAGACAACTTTGTTGTAATTTCTAAATTTTGAGATCAGTCATGTTAATGGTAAGAAAGAAGAAGGGTGTTTTTCAAGTATTGTACAGATGATTCACCTACTTTCGGGTGTCAAAGGATTCAATTTAATCACTGTTAGTTCAAACACATACTTCTTGCCTGCTCACATCTTCAGGGGATTGGAAACTAAGTTTGAAACTGTTTTATAATAATATTGATAATCAGTTTCCACTCAAACAAAAAAAAAATGTATACTAGAGAATCATGTAAAAATGTGAAGATAAATTCCACAAAATAAATGCCTTAATGACTGTAATATATAAATGGAAATAAAACCAACCAGATCTATCTTATTTTAATTGATATTGTTGAATGTGGAGATTTCTTTCTTAATTGTTCACAATGCGCGGCTAAAAGAGGAAGAGGTCGTTGTTTTCCTTTATTTATTTATATATTATTATATAATATATATATATATATATATATATAATATGTACGGACAATAGTATAGGATACAATTGATATATTAACACATTTATTTTTAAAACAATAGAATATGATATATGATATATACATATTAAAAATATTTAAGAGTCTGTAATAATTTTTAACAACATAATAAATATATGATTGAAGTATATATATTAAAATTGTGAATATAACAAGTTATAAATTATTCTTATTATAAAAGTATTATTATTTTATAAATTAAATACATTGATGAGTATGATAAATTATTCTAAAATATCATATACTCCATTATTCTAAAATATCACATACGTGTAGGATAAGTACATATAGCACAAAGTTGGATAAGAATATATAACTTAAATGGAAGTTTTTACTATTGAAAAACTCATCTACTTTCAAACCTGAATATTAATAGAGAACGCGGAAAAAAAATACTGGAAGTAATAATTTTTTTACAAAATTTGTGAAAAGATTTTAAAATGTAAAGACTAAAATAGGATCACAATTAATATTCAATTAATTTTTTTTTATATATATTGCACATCTCTATCTATCCCTGAGACATAAATAACTTTATTCAAATAATGACAAGTTTTGTATAGAGGGAATGAATTTAATAATTTGATGGTTAAATTAGTATTGAACCAAATTTAGTAACATGAAAAATTATTCTCAGTGCCTTGTCATGTCGATAAAGGAATTAGGTTCTGTTGAAGGGTTTATGAACAATCAGAAAGTTGAAATTCTTCTCTTTTTAGTAATCTGAGCAACAGTCGACGACAAGCAAAGCAGAGAGAGGGAGAAAAAATAAATAAAACAATGGGCCCATGAATTTAAAGAGAGATAAATATTAAATCAAATGATGTATCAACACGTGAATTAAGGAATGGTGGCTGAATCTTCTTTATAAAATATTGAACATTCATAAGTTTAGTATGACAGAGTTCATAGTTAGTTCAGTCAGCAGAGCAGATGTCTGATCAAGGTGAATAATTTTCGTATCAAATTTTAGTTGTCTGTTTTTTTGAACTAATTAACTTTTCTTTTTGGTAAATAAGTAAATTTGCTTGCTCCTTCAATTTTTTTTTCTTTAACTCTGAAATTATTTGGTTTCGTCTAAATATTTGAAACCATAGGATGGATTTCAGATATGAAATAATAGTGAAAGTTTAAAAGCTAATAAATGGCATTAAATAAAAAGAAAGGGGAAAGGGATGTAAGTATTGACACATAATCCACGTGATGCGAAAGGGACAACAAATTTTCCATTATGGCGACATGAAACAACGTATGAACTCATTGAATAGAGTGTAAAAAATATTTTAATACATATATGAACATTAAGATATACTAAAGCTTGTACTGGTGCTGGTGGCTTGGGGGATAACACAAGGTGAATGGAGTCTCCCTTGTTTTGTTAGAAAACTTATACCACGCTGTAAAAGCAGAAATGCCCGCTAATACAAAAAACCCAGACGAGTATAATACTATATTTGGAATATCTAGGAATTTAGTTTAAGGTTTTGGTGTGACACCAACTCATGATTTCTGCACCAGACGCTCTACATCTCCCATTTCCACCTCGCTTTCTTGCAAATCATCTGCATCTTTAAACAGTAATTCGATTTCCTCCAATGTCTTTCCTCTTGTCTCTGGAACACAATAATGAACAAAGGCAACGGCACAGCACGAAATAACGCCAAAAATAAAGAATGTTCCTGCTACTGTGATTGCGCGAGACACTGAGAGGAAGGACATGGAGATTGCACCGCTGCTGACCCTACTTCCCACTGCTCCAAGAGCTGATGCTTGAGCTCTGAGTCTCAGAGGAAATATCTCACTTGACAAGACCCAGCATATGGGGCCAAGTCCTACTGAGAATGAAGCCACATTTCCACAAACTGCAAGAATTGCTAATGCAATCCCAATTTTCGCATGACTCAGAAAAGCCAGAGATAAACTCAGGCTAAACAAGCTTACTGTCATCCCAATTGTGCTGGCGTAGAGCAAAGGCTTTCTCCCCAATTTGTCTATAAGAAATATGGCTATCAAGATGAACAGAGTTTTGGTGAATCCAACAGCAACTGTTGCAGCAAGAAGCTCAGAGTTGCCAGTGATCCCGGCGTTCTTGAAAATTGTGGGGCTATAATACACAGTTGTGTCTATGCCTGTTATCTGCTGGAAACACTGAATTCCACAGCCAGTTATAAGCATTCTTCTAACAGGAGGAGTAGGGCACAATATTTCTTTCCAGACCGCTTTTGATTCGTATTTGTCAGCACTAACTGACCCAGCAGCTACCACAATTTCTTGCAACTTTTCTTCAGCCTCCTTCTCACTCTCAGTTATCTTGAACAACACCACTCTAGCTTCTTCAACCCTATTCTGCACCACTAGCCATCTAGGGGATTCAGGTATGACAAACAGTGCAAGAGCAATAACAACTGATGGGAGAAGTCCAACGCCAAGCATTATCCTCCAATTTATATGTGCTGGAAGCCTGGAAAATGCATAGTTTGATATGTAGCCAAGAAGGATTCCAAAATTTATAAATATCTCAGGGAAAGAGGTAAGTGATCCTCTGGCAATGGCAGGAGAAATTTCGGCAATATAGACAGGTGCAATCATGACGCCAAAACCTATACCCACCCCAGCCATGAGTCTTCCTATCATCAGTACTTTGAAGGACGGAGCAAGAGCCATAACAGCTCCACCTGTTTGGAAGATAACGGCTGCCAAACCAATTGTCCATTTGCGGCCAATGGCATCAGATGTCTTTCCACCTGCTAAACTACCCAACAATGATATTATGCTCAAAATTCCAACAAGCACTTCTTGCTGAACATCAGATATCTTCAGATCCTCCTGAATGAATATAATTGCTCCACTCATAACACCCACATCTGTAAAATGAGAAGCAAAGACAACCAACTAGGCTCTTAGTTTTGGTTCCTATTAATAGTATAAATAAAATAGTTTATTCATGTAGTCAATATTATAAATAAATCGATACACAAAATCGTTGCAAAGAAGGCACAAACCAATGGATTCTCTTCTAATAGTTAGACTAGAATGTAAGTTTTCTGCTTTCAATTGTTAGTGATTGTCTGACTGTAAAATTGCCCATCATATTCGAGCACACATATCTGCTATCTGATAGTGTAAGACTAATCCATCATGCACACACACACACACATATATATATATAACTTTAGAAGTGGGAATCATTTTCCAAATGCTTTTCCCGAACAGCGTTCTTCCGAGGTCAATTTTCAATTCCTGAATATGAGCGGCCATGGAAAAAGTTTCCACCCAAAAATACAAAAACTGCTGTTGTAAATTACACAAAGAGCCCTAGATTTTACATTCATCGCTGTGATGGAGAGTTACCTTATCGAAGTCCTAAAAACAGGTATCAAGTCCCACAAAAGACGATACTAAATCAAATCATTTTTCGTTTGTAGAATTTTTTTAATTGACACGTATTGGGGAATTTATCGGGCATAAATAAAATACAATAACGGAATCAAATTATTAGACATAAAACGAAGATAAATAATTAGAATTACCTACCATAGCCAAGAAGCACGGAATTCAAAGAGGCAAAAACGGCACATGCAAAGACATATTTATGGGCCTCGTGCTTCTTGTTTTGCAGAACTTCGTCGTCCTCAAGTGGATCAGAGGTCATCTTGGTGTATCTTGTTTTGGTCCCCAACGGAATTTCAGATACCCCGTCTCCGTTCCCGTTTTCCTGGACCCCAGCTAACCCCATTATACTCGTTCTCTCTAGACTCGCCCCAACCCTTGAATATTCAATAACAATAATAAAAGATAATATACATTTGATCCAATAACAATCGCCGTTCCTTTTCCTGTAACGTCAGTGGGCTATGTTGAGCTCTTAGATCTGAAATGCGGAAAGCGATAGAATGGGGAAGAAGAATTGAGGAAGAGGAACAGGCACCCCTTTGGAAAGATGAGTTTTGGCCAAACCGTGTGCAAAGAATTACCACATTGTCGTGTGGAGGGTTAGTGGGGTCAACTCAGTTGGACTCTACC